GATCAGGTGAGGCGAGTGGGACCGGCTGCTCCTTGTCCCCACAGCGTCCCCGCCCGTCCCAGCCCGTCCACGCCGGCCACCGCTGCACAATGGATTTACCACCCTCTGCAGCATCCGGCCGTACGGCTGCCTGTGCGGCACTGCGGTCGGTCTGGGCGGGGCGGGGTGCGGCGGGGTGCGGTGGCTTCAGCCCCCGGGAGATGACGGCCAAATCTCGCCCAGCGCCTCGACGGCCAGAAGGGTGAAGGAGATACGTGCGCGGTTTACGGCGGGATTTCAAAAAAAATGGGATGGCGACATTTTTCTTTTCAATTCGGCTTCCGCGACGCTGGGCTGCGGAGTATGCGGAGGGTGCGCGCAGATGCGGGCGGCCGCGGCCAGGGAGGCGTCCATGGAAGGCTGATCCACGGCGAGAGTGCTAGCCAAAGAACAGATAAATGGATTATGAGTATGGAATTTGAAGCGATTCTTTGTATTACGAAGAAATCCGACTATTCTTTCCTTTTGTCGCAGTTACGAAGCAAGCTTGGTACGCTTTTTTTTAGTTTAAAGGAACATGGATCTCAATTTACCAATTCGTAAAATATCGATGGTTGGACTACGCCAACGAAAGCTGCGTTTCTAATACGTCTTCGGAATGACACGGCCCTCGATGCAGATGATAGCCTCCGCTGGCTGCTGCAGGTAACCTGATGACATTCGGTAGCGGTATTGTCCGTAGACCATGACGGGAATGGAGGGCACCGACCAACGCACGGGTGCGTCGGTTTCGTATAAACCCTGCAGAGCAGCGATGAATGTTTACCAATTTACATTCTGGACCAAATAGATCACTGTAACGCTGCTATCTTGGCACTAGCAGGCACGCAAACTTAACGATACTGTAAAGTGAAACTAGCATGTCCTAGAAATGTTTGTCACAGGAAGATCATTTTGTGGTCAAAATTCGAACACTATTATTAGATGAATTTATTCTCAAAGTTGGGGGCCCCAACTCCTGTTGGTTTCTGAGTTATGGAGGTTTATGTAAACTTTTAGTCGTTTCTCCCAAATTCTCCTCATGACAAAGGATTTCAGATTCTGGCAATTTTATGTGATGAGAAGAGGCAATAAAGGCTATTTTACCGGGCCTTTTTTGGCTGAGCGATAGCGAAGCCCTTGCCGTGTTTGGGCGCTCCAAAAAGTGACTGGTCGTGCGTCTGTCCCTCTGTATGTAATCACTCACGTTTCTCAGCAACTACTGAACGAATAGTATCCAAATTTCATACCTGATGTCTCCTAAACATCATACAGGGGGAGTTTATCTCAGATTGACAATTATCATCGTTTGAAATATTCAAAACATAGTTTTGAACTAGGTAATTAGCGTGGTTAGGTTGGTAGCAGTGTGGCTGACCAATTTCTCATACCGGCTGCCGCGCTTGCAAGCCGTCTGCAAGACGGGACGGCACTTTTGCAAATAAACAAACTGAAGAGCAAAGGGACTCTGAAATAGGTTCTGAGTTACTTTTTTAATATTCTAGAATGATTGAAACCCTTCCGGAATGTCAACAGAGGAAAATACGAAAACTGAAAGTGAGAATGGTTTGCGTGTTTCGTTCCCCTCTCCCCCTCCCCCGTCACAGGGGAATCTTCCTTCAGGTCAGTGCACTGTGAGTGTAGTTGTGGATTGTAAACAGAATTTTCTTTGCCTTTGTGTGCATTTACTGATTTTATTCTCTCTGATACTATCCTTATTTTTAAAATTCATAGGAAATTCAAATCAGTTAAATGCATGAATAACTTCTGTTGAAATTAGAAGACATGTTAAATGTCTTGGTTTGTCTCGGGAAATGACATTCTATTGCAATGCTGCAAGCTAACATGAATATTCTAGTGCTAACATCTATTGATTAAAAGAATCCATATAGAGATGTATTTAGTGCGATGAATAATCCATATACGGTGCTAACAGATTTTGAATTGATGTTGTGTTCAATGAGACGATTCAGATTTTGAGCGGTGGGTGACTTGGTTATTGGATTTAATGACACGATTCCTTTCACTTCACCAAAGTTTGTGTCCGGCAACTGGAACTAAGTATTGGTAATGGTTTAAAACCTGGCTCTCTGAATGTAAGCCTAATGTTAATACTAAACTTTATACTTTTACTCCAAAGATAAAATATCACGAGGCATGAATAAGGTAAATTATGTTGGCGTATGGAGCAACAAATGGCCTCTGCTTTGGACTTCATGAAACGATTCACTGAATTTGACAAAACTTGGTCTCCGTCGAATGCTTCAGATCAGCCTGCCCTAAACTGAGTCACTTAATACATATAAACTATGATTACATATTCCAGTCTATTGTTTAATTAACCGGTTTTAAATGAAAGAATGACAAAAGGCTTCTCAAATATAACTAATAAATTTGTGAATTCATTAGTTTGAAGAAAAAGATGTATCGAATAGTGAGTCAAGCAGATGAGTAGCTAATTAAGCGATTCAATGCTGGCAATGGAATGTTACTCGACTGAAGGAATCGTATTGGTGTGGCATCAGGGTATTGGTGACGACAAAGGGTGATCTATGAAGACCAACCCAGACCCATTCTTTCCCCATTATTGATCAATTGATATCAATATTTTTCAATTGAATCTCATATTGATTCTTGGAGTTTTTGGAGTGCTGATTATGAAAACCACTTCCATTTCTACTCCAGACGTATATTTTCATCTCAAATTGGGTCATTTCGGACCAAAATTTTCAGGTGAAGTTTTATATTGTTTCCTGCAGTGTTTGATGAGCTGAACTCAAAAATGACTTCCAAATTTTTTCCAGACTCACGCTTTGCCAAATTTTGGCCAAATTTGGACCAAAATTTGGGAATCGAGTTTGCTGTTGATCCCAACAGTTTTTTCTGTGCTGATAACGAAAATCACATCCATTTCGACTCCAGACTTACATTTTCATCCCAAATTAGGTCATTTTGGACCAAAATTTTCAAATCGAGTTTTATATTGTTTCCTGCAGTTTTTGGTGCGCTGAACTCAAAAATGGCTTCCAATTTTTTTCCAGACTCACGCGTTACCGAATTTTGACCAATTTAGGACCAAAATTTTGGAATCGAGTTTGACGTTGATCCCAACAGTTTTTTGTGTGCTGATAACAAAAATCACTTCCATTTATACCCCAGACCTACATTTCACTCAATATGAGCCCACAAGCTGCACATTTCGTCTACTTAAGCACAGTCCGAAGTGCACAAATTCGCATCGCTCAGCCACACTACGCGCCCACACTAAACGGCGCGTACCCCTAGTTATTTTTCTCCAAATTTGAGAGATTTTGCACCAGTTTGGTCTTGTTTTTGGTTTCTTTTTTTTTTTTTTTTTCAGCAAAACTAAGGCACATATTTGAAAACGGACTACGCTATCTTTCTCCTTCAAAACGCAAGGTAGGGTTTTGACCTTCAAAGTGACTAAGGAACTCGAATCGGACGTGTGACCACACCAATGGATTGCTCTCCGAACAAGGAATCCATTGGTGGGGTCACGCGCTCGGTTCGGGTTCTGTTAGCAATCTGGAGCTCAAAACTCGTCTAGAAATGTGGCCGCCTCCACTGGTCTTCTGGTCATTCTGCCTTTACCACGGGTATGCACGGTGAAGTGTGTCTGGCCCCGGGGAAAAAGTGCTGCAAGACATCCGGCACGTACTTCCAGGCTACCGAACATCCATGGTTGCTGAACTTAAATACGAATGCGTTTTCCTTCCACATGTTGTTGCTCCAAGCGTCTAAAGCTACATGCATCTTGAAAACAGAAGATGACAAGACGATTCGGTAAGGAGAAACAGTATCGTAGTAATAATGACTGCTTGATTCCAATCCCGTCACTGTTGTACAACGACTGGAAGTCTTATTCGTTCGGATGAGAATTTTGTCTCTTGCGTTTAAATGTAATTTAATATTTGTTAGGATGTTGATCCTCTTTAAACGGCCCTGCCACATTCAAACGAAAGCGACACAATTTACGTTATAACGAATGTGGCCTCCCAGTCCCATTCGTTGAACAGCAGCGTAAAATTCGTTAAAGGATTACCGAGATACGAGTATGGATAAAGTTTGCCATCTTGAGGCTGGCCGTAAAGCTTCTCACGTGTTAAACCTCTACTTGAGCAGTTCTCAGCCGGGGAAATCGCATTGTGGCTATTGCGTACAGTATGTTTCCAATACGCGTCTTACACCTTGCTGACTATTACGCAAGAATCACGCGCCCTTTACAAGTAGCTTTAAAAAGATTCTAGACATACTGTCCAGTTAAATTGACATGCAAGCAATCGCGTGAGTCATTTTCGCCTGATTTCAGTGTATTATTGTGTCCCTGTCAGTGTGAGAACTGCCCATGGCCTGCGGGCCTGGAAGTTTTCTAGAGTAGCATACCCATGTGTCGTCTGTCATGGGAGTAGTGGCGTTGAACCAACCTCGTGCGTGTTGCAATTCTGAATGCCTGGCAGGGTTGTAGTGAGAGAACCTCATACTCACTGACCAGTTGTGTTTCGCCCCGCAGTCATACATCTTTTCAACGACAACATTCCATGGCCCCTAAAACAAATTAATTCTTAGACTCTGACCTGTTCGCTTTGAGAAATGACTTAGGGACGAACAGTGCGAGGATAAATCGATCGAACACTGCAGTGGTGAGGTGGGGAAAAAATCAGATGATGCCCCGAACTAGATTCCTCCCATAAAGACTTGATAACATTCATAGACGTATGACGATGGTGTAGGGTACGAACAACCAGTCGAGAGTATTTCCGGTTATCTAAATGAGTGGTAAAACGACGGCCACAATGGGCCCCGAAATGAAAGGAATTTTATCAATTTGCGACTCTTAGAACACGCTCTTACGCACATTATCACCTGCGGGCAAAAACTCGGGTTCAATTGGGGAAATCTCGGTGTGACCCTTGTTGGTGCTTTATATGCCTCATCGTACCGCGTAGGAGTTAATTGTCTTTCCATGAACACCGAAGTAGAGGACAACGAAATAGATGACAAACGCATTGAAGATGAAGGTTCGAAAAGATTTCTCCATTGCTGCCATCCTCTTGCACACTGCGCATTGCAAAATTCAAGCGAATAAGTGTCACGGTGGCGTGGTTAAACAAGTTGATTCTGTTCTAAACAGACTACTGAGATTCCAAACGCTATAAATATAGCACGTATGGTGCGATGCACTGAGATAGCGCACCATACGTGCAATACCTCAGTCATATTGCACCTCACGTGCAATGCGTCCCGAAAATGCCCTATGCTAATGCATGGGAAAGGGAAGGCATTGCACTTCATGTGCAATGCTTTTGCATTGTACCAATTGACGCTATATTCATAACGATTAGGATATCAGTGTTCTTATGCATGTTGCAAAAGTGTTGCACCTTTCTTCAGAATCACGGCATGAATATGCTGATACTTTCAGTTTTCTTTACCTCAATTTTCTCTAAAGTTTTCAGATCGAATCTAATGACCGTTTTGGGACCCCGTAAATATCAACATTGAACACGACTATAAAATTCGATATGCTCGAATCCTGTGTCGGAACGGATTTCCATGTCGAATCAGGACAGATTCGATTTCGAACAAACCACGTCTCTAAATGCGATCACTTACTTGCCTTTTCGAGTGCAGGTCCCGGGATGCAACTGACAAAGAGTCGAGAACAGGCGGCCACGGGACTGCTTCTCATTGTGATGGTGCCGGTTCCCGTCAACAGCTCCACGCTAGTGAATTTTTTTTTAAATAACAAAAAAGGAATCCATTGTTACGTTCTGAGCTTCACGGAAAACCACAACGGCCGCACGACAGCAAGTGTGATCTCATCAGGCCTCGTATTACGGTGTTGATCAGTATCTGGCAGTTCAATGTGATCTCGTGTCACGGCGCATTCATTTTGAGAAAAAATGATGGGCCTCTGAAACAATTTTTTGACCATGTCCCCAAGATTTGGCACTTTTTGGTAACTTTTGGCCTTTTTTGACAATATCTCCTGAAGAGCTGTAGCTACATTCCGGAGACAGTTTTGGATTCCTTGGATCATTTCACTCTAAAAAAAATGCTTCTGAAATTTCATAACCTGGTTTTGGACCTATTTGTAGAACTATTGCTCTTAAATTTCATATCCAAATAGTTCTTAAGTTTCATAACTAGCTGTTCTAAAATGTCATAAGTGGTTTATGAAATGTAAGAGCTCTATTATTAATTTTCAGAAGCAATGTGTTATGAAAACTTATATCCGGTTCTTAATCTCTACAACCAATGCTATGAAACATCATAACAGTTTTATTACTTTTTACAACGAATGTATCGTGAAATCTTATATCCCGTTCTAAACTTTTATGTTACAAATACTGAATTCTCAGACAGGTTTCATTTCTTTTCACACTCAATATCTTGCAGCACTTATGCATCGTAGCGCACCAATTCGGGCTACTAAAGCGGAGTTTCATTTTTCTCCGAGAGCTACGCACAAGGAACATCACAGTTTAACGTGAGAGCCAAACCTCAGTCGACGTGGTAAACAGCGCAGCAGCGTTTCAGATCCAGATGAAAACTTTAGGGAAACTCGATCGACAAGAAGAAAATACTTTGGGAACAAAGATGAAAGAGGAGAAGCGAATTGAAATAATACGCCACCCACACGTTCATCGTCCGTCCCTGCAGTTAAAAAGATGGAGTTACAGCATTCAGCTGCGCCGCTTGTAACGAAAACAGTCATTTTCCCGGAGATCGCCAATCTAGCTTCAAACTCTTGAAACACGAGTTCTGGCTGTTGGGCACCACGAGCAACACTTCAACTGCACTACACGCACTGCGCCGAAATAACACTAAACGGTCCAGTGAAACTAAATTGATGGCGCGACTGACTCGCTCTCGGACCCGGACGCGATGTGCACAGCTCTGGAGACACAGACACACTAAAAATGACGCAGTCCCTCAGTAATCCGGAGTGGCCGAGGGATTTCGCGACCCTTCGGTCGGTGCAGGTAGCCTCGGCCGGCCGGCCGGCGAGCGGTGATTTTCCGGGAAAGCAGCGCCCGAGCGCCGGCTCGGCTCACCCTGCCCGGCTCGGCTGGCCACCGACGGGGCGGCTCGGCTCGGCCAGGCCCGACACGGCCCGGCGTATACACTGTTTGATCTAACTGAAGCATGCCTGCAAGCACGCTCTGGTTAGCGCATACCCGCCAAGCATGCACTTATCACAGCATACATGACATGTACGAGCTAACTGAAGCAGACAACTCCCTGCCTTTTACGCACTAGATGTAGTAAGCGGATACGGTATGTATGCACTAGTAAGTGCATGCTTCATGCTTGGCGGGCATGCTTCAATTTGTGCATACAATGTAAGCTTTTCGATTTCTAGCTGTGCCCATCAAGATTCCTATCTAATCGGATAGGAAAATGTAAACACTTGCCAAAGAAAGAGAACTTTACCAACTGATTTAGGGTAATTGTACAGTGAAAAAAAAAGACTATGGTACATTTTAAAAATACTTGTGTCAGATGTCTCAATTTTGGGGTAAAAGTTCCTTACCATTGCATAAACTCATACACTGAGAATAGGCCCCCACCTCTTAATAGTTTCTGAGTTATGGATGTTTACGTTAACTTTTAGTCGTTGCTCTCAAATTCTCCTCACGACAAAGTAAAAGATACCCATCCTTCAGATTCTGGCAATTATATTTATTTTCGCATTGAAAATAGATGGTGTTGGCCTTTACTTAATATCTCTCTTAGTTTTACTGTAAAACTGAAAACAACAAAAATGAGGCAAAATCTCTCAAATTTAAAAATGAAAATGGGCCAAGTAAAATACCTTTTACAGCCTCTTCTGGACTGATATATTCAAATGTGCCAACGCTTTCTTTTTCTTATATCTTGAATGCCAGAATCTGAGGTTTGCATACTTTTTCCTTTGTCGTGAGAAATCTTGAGGGAAACGGCTCAATGTTTATGTAAACCTCCATAACTCAGAATCTAATGAGAGTTGGAGCCCCCAACTTTGAGAGTAAATTCATCTTACAGAGGTTGGATTTTGACCACAAAAAGAACTTCCTGTGACAAATGGTTCTGTTTCATGCTATTTTCACTTCACAGTGTCCATAAACTGAACACAAACGGGACTTGGCAGCGGAACGCAAATGATTAAAAATTTCAGATCCTCTGTTCTAAAATCAGCAAGCGTTATAAATTTTCAAAGTGAAAATCTAGATATTAAGAACCGGAGTTATAAGATTCCCGGTTCTGAAAATTTATAACCAGTTATTCTTGAAATCTATAACCCAAATCTTAAAATTCATTACAGGATCTTAAATTTTATAAGAATGTTATGAAAATTGAGGTTTAGAACGTGATTATGAAATGTCAGACCTATTTGGATATGAAATTTCATAACTTTTTTTAGAGTGTTTACGTTAGAAAAACTCTATCTTTGCTAATAAGTGCAAAACTGGAAAAACAGTAAAAAGTACCCAAATTCCAGTAAATTATTTTTAAAAAAATGGTAAAACTGCCACAGATTAGGCAATAAATTTTTACCGGATCTGCTACTGCGGCTTTTAGCATCTCTGTCAGGGTACTTGAACTCCCACCCAAAAAATGAGCCAAATCGGAGAGGTGAAATCCAACCCTGTCACCTCTTAAATAATTTTGCTCACTACAAGTGCGGGACCCCGCCCAAGACCCGGCCGGCCCGCGTCCCGCGTTCGATCCGCATTAACGTTTCCCGCCCTCGCTGTTTACGGACCCCTCTCAAAGAGGTGCCACGTCCACAGTGGGCCAGAAGACCGGTGGAGGCGGCCAAAACTCTAGACGCGTTTTGAGCCCCGGAGTCGCTAAATGGGGCTCGAACCGACCGTGTGACCCCACCAATGGATTGCTCTTCGAACGAGGAACCCATTGGTGGGGTCACACGTTTGGTTCGAGCCCCATTTAGCGACTCTGGAGCTCAAAACGCGTCTAGAGTTTCGGCCGCCTCCACCGGTCTTCTGGCCCACTGTGACGTCGGGAAAGTTGGCGCCGAGGCCGGCAGCGCAACGCAGCGCGGCGGCGAGAGGAAGTGCTGGCGCGGCTACGTCGGGCTACAAACTTGGGCCGCAGGTTTGAGCATCGCCTTCGCCCCGCGAGAGGAAGTAAAAGAGTGTAAAAGAAGCTGAATGTCGGCGCCGTGCCGCGCCGCGGGCCCGTTGGCCGGCGCCGCGCTTCGACGCCGTGCCCCGCCGGGGCGCGAGTGACATGCGGACGCCCGCGGCGGATCGCACGCGGCCACCGCGACGTGTTTGCATTTGCTGTTTTTATCGTGGTTGTTTTTTTTTTCGCTCTGGCCCGCGGCAGCGCGGCAGCCTGCCTGATGGCGGCCGCACGCTGTTATGATCATTATGATCATGCTCAATTTCTGCCCGGGCAAAGCCCCAACTAAAATACATGGTAGAGAGGGGTGGTTCTATTGGTTACATTTTATTTACTGGGCGCCAGGAGCCTTGGCTCCACCAATGATCTTTGCGAGGAAAATAAGGGAGATCACACGAACAACGAGTTAAAAATATTTAGGATTTATTGTACAAATTGGACCGTGTGGATTACCAGAGACAAGTATAAACTGGAACGCAAAATTGCGACTAAATCAAAACACATGAATAAATAAATCACTTCACTCAAGCGAATGACACTATTCCAGAGATAGACTTATAAATAGCCTCGGTCACCAGGACCAGACCATAACAATACAGATTAAATATCGGTTATCCTCTCATCAAATCAAAAAGAATCATCCATACAGATGAACATACACACAAAAATAAAGGCTTCAAGCCCAACAGAGAGAGCGGTTACCAGAAACTAATTTCCAAAAATATCGTATAAATATATACATAATATAAACTTTAGTATATATAGACAAGAGTAACTAAACACACCCCAAGAGGGTTCCGCTCTCTCAGAACTCGAATAAGCAAGCAGA